AAAAAAATCACTTAAGGTGTTTATTAAATTCAGAATTATAGACCTTTCTATAAAAAAATTCCAGTCGAAGATGAGCCTAGACAGCAACATTTTTAAACCAACAACTCTTATGATTCTAACACAAGTAGCCCTAAAAGTACATTTTGAGACACATCATTGTAGATATTGTCAAATAGAGTGAACTAGACAGACACATATTTGGAATCTTGCTTCTACCATTTACTAACGTTGTGACTACAGCCAAGTTGATTTTATGTCATCTACATAATCAGGGCCGTGACCCCAACTCCAGCAGAAAGTGTTGTCCTAGGTCAGCGGACTCTTCTACCAGGGAGATCGGGAACCACAGGCTGAGCGAGACCCAGAGGTTTATCCTGGGAACAGAAAGAAGGGAGACTGTGTGAATCACGACCAGAGCTAAGGATGTGGGTGGTTGGGGCTTGGTAAGGCAGGAGACATCACGACGAGGAGAGACTCAGAAATAACCGTCTAGTTTCTGTCAGGTTGATGCTGACTCATGGTAACCTCGGGGTTGCAGTTGGCGTTGTGGCAGAGGCCTTTCACGAGCAGCACAGCTGGGCGAGTTTGACTGGCCAACTTTTCCATTAGAAGTTGAGCACAAATGGCTGCACCATCCAGGAACCTCCAGGGGAGAACAATGTGGTGGAAAACAAGATCAGAACCGGAAGGAAAAGCTATGACTCGGTACACACAAAGAAGTTTCTAAACCCACAGTAGAATGGAAGGAAGGTCCCGAGTAAAAATCTGGTACCAGCAGCTGGAACACAGAGCATCCCCAAATTGAGGTACAGCTGCCAAGGAGTGAGAAGTGGGGACAACGCCTCATTGAGTCTCCCTCAGCCACCTCCAACATGAGCACATTCTGGTTCGGCCTCCCTTTTGCTGTTGTTTGAGGCCCCATGGTCCCTGTTGACTCTGGGATCTCCTGTGACAGAGTAAACGTGACCCATAGTTTCCCTACCTTTAATCTTTGATGGAAACCGATCACCAGGTCTTTCTTCCAGCATCACAGGGGGGAATGGAGTAACTGACCATTCATTGAGCAGTCAAATATGTACTCGTTGTATCTCTAAAGGCCCTGCTAAAGGAATGCTATTCTGGGGTTCAGAGGTCGTGTGAGGGTTAACTCAGGGCCTGCAGAGCATGTGATATTTGGGAGATGGTAAGATTTTCCTAGGCAATGATAGAGTAATCCCAAGGACACTGATGCAAAGAAGCATCCTGGTTAGCTTATGACATCATTTTTCCTCATCATTTTCCTTGGTCTGGAAATTATTTCCATGCCAAGTATGTCTCTATATCCCAGGGTTCCAGAAAGCTTCCACTGTAGTTATTTATTTTAAAAATCATTTACAGAGTGGTTCCTACCATGACGCTTCTCTAGCATTCTGGAATGATTTGTATCTGTGTGCCCTCTTCTCTGTTTCTGTGGGCTCTAGTGCTTCAAAGAACCAGGATCTTTCACATGGGGACTAACTTCTATATCAGTGAGGGTTGTTGTGGTTAAAGGAAAAGGAATCTCTAAATTGACTGAATACCAAAGGTTACCAAAAATTAATTCAGCACTGGGAGCACTCAGTTGTCTATGGCAAGAAATTTGGAAGACAAATTACTTGACCAGGCAACTAGAACAGATGCATATTTGTAAAGGAGGATAGCCCCCAAACTGTAGAAAGTATCAAACACTATCACTAATATTACAGTCAAGTGCAATTTTGATGAAGATATTTAAAAAGTGATTGCTGTAGAACACTGACAGTGAGCTGTCAGAAATTCAAGCTTAATTCAGAAGATATGCAATAAGAAATATCATTTCGGATATCATTATGTATTTTGGATGAAAGTACAAAATGTCATGAAGATGTTTTCTATGCAAAGGCGTTCTAGTCTGTGGAGTAACACCCTGGAAAACATTGTGAAGAATGGGAATTCCTGAACACCTAATTGTGCCCATGCAGAGCCTGTACATCCTCCGAGAGTCAGTTCAAACAAAAAACAGGAAAACTGCATGGTTTAAAATAAAAAATGGCCACTGTCACCCCTGGTCCTGA